TATATATAAGGGATAGTTTTATTTCTCCATTTCTCACATAATGCCCTTTATTTCTTTTCCTTGCCTTATTGCAGGAGAGTGGTAAGAGCTGACATCCTTGCTTTGTTCCTGATCTTAAGGGAGCATTAAGTATAATGTTAACTATAGCATTTTTGTAGGTGCTCTGTATATTTTTTCCTACCTTAGTTTAACCAAGTGGCTTTCTCAGCATTGCCAGGTGTTCTTTATCAAGCTGAGTTTTCCTCTGCAATTAGTTTTCTGAGTTTTTATTATGAATGAGTGATGAATTTTCCAGATTTTTTTTTCTGCATTGATTTATATAACCACATGACTTTTCTTCTCTATCTGAAATTTGGTTAACATTTAGCATCTTTTTGTTGTTGTTGTTCAGCCTACCTGTGTCATTGCATTTGAAGTGGGTTTCTTCAGTATCTAGTCCACCCATCAAAGCAATTTTGGAACTTTTATTTTGGAATGGTCATCAGAACTATTGTTGTATTACCCTTGATGTCCTCAATGTCATCGACATGTCTTCCTTTCAGTATTTCCTTTATCTCCAGGTAAAGAAAAAAGTCATTGGGGACCAAATCAGGGAGGGAGTTCCAATACAGTTATTTGTTTACTGGCTAAAATCTCCCTCACGGACAGGGCTGTGTGAGCTAATGCATTGTCGTGTTACAAGAACTCCTTTGGGTCCATTTGGCACACTTCTTTCTCATGCCAAGATTTCCAGTTAAGATTTTCCTAACTGTTTCTCTGTCGATGTTTATTTGGTCTGCTATGCTTCTCACAGCCAGCTGATGATTTTGACAGACAATTCAACACATTTTTGTAATGTTTTTGTCAGTTCTGCTCATTACTGACCATCCTGACCTCTCTTCATCAATGACACTTTTTCTTCCCTCAGAAAAACACTGCTGTTTTCTTCATGGCATTATCCCCATAAACTTGGACTAACGTGTCTCTGATTTCACTCTACTTTTGCCAAGTTTAATGAGAAATTTAACATTTGGTCATTGCTTTAATTCAAGCCACGACATTCTTGTGATGACACACAAAGACATGCAACAACAGTAACGAACACCACTCAGCAAGACACCACCACACGTTGATATGGACACAGTTGTGAGACACTGACATACCAAGGTGATGAAATTTTACCGAGTTGTTTGCACAGTACTGCCAACATAAGTGCAGAGTGACATGTTCGTGAACTTAATTGTCAAACTTCGAATACACACACATATATTTATCCTATGGGTAAAGTGTCATTGTTTTCTGACTACTTTCAAGATTTTTTTTTTTTTTTTTTTTTAATCTTCATTCTTCAGAAGTTTAATTATGATATGTGTTGGTATGGATTTCTTGGGTTTATACTGCTTGGGATTCACCCAGCTTCCTGTATCTGTAGGTTTAAGTCTTTTGCCAGATTCAGGAAGTTTTCATTCATTATTTCTTCAAGTACTTTTTCAACTCCACCCTTTCTCTTCCTGGAATCTGGTGACATGAATCATGATTGTTTGATCTTTTGTTATAGGTTCACATGTCCTTAAGATGCTGTTCCTTTTTTTCCCCCCCCAATCTGTCTTGTCTTTGTGGTGGAAATTGGGCTATTTCTACTGTCCTATCTTCCAAGTCATGATTTTTCCCTCTGTCCCCTCTATTCTGATGTTGAGCCCATCCACTGAGCTTTTTACTTAAATTATTATATTTTTTTCAGTTATGAGGTACTCAAATCTTCTATTTCTTTGCAGACACTCAGTTTCTTTACTGAAGCTTCTATTTTTAAAAGTTATTTCAGTTGTGTTTATAACTGTTCATCAAAGCATTTTAGCATGGTTGCTTTAAAATTGTGTCAGAAATTCTAACATCTCTGTCATCTCAGTATTGGCATCTGTTAATTTTTAATTTATTATAAGATCTCCCTGGGTTTTGGTTTGATGAGAGATTTTTTTTTTTTTACCTGAACATTTTTTATATTATGTGATGATTCTCTGGACCTTATTTAAACTTTCTGTTTTAGCTGGCTTTCTTTGACACCCTCTGTCAGAGGAAGGAGTGGCATCACCTCATTACTGCCAGGCGGAGATGACCACATCCGAGTTCCCTACTCAGCCCCCTTGGACCCCTGGAGACAACGGGTCCTCCTTCCTGCCCAGTGGGGTGAAAGAACAAGCACCCCCTGCCTCTCCACTGACACGCCAGGTGGGGGGGGGTCGCTACTTGCCAGCGGGGAGGAAAGTCCCAGCTTCTGGCTTGGCATTGTCTGACACCACACTGGCAGAGGTGTTGGTCTACCTCATCCCAGCTCTGACAAGGGCTGAAGTCCATGTGCCCCATCCTGCCTTTGCCGGTGTAACTAGGGGTGGGGCCAAAGTTTTCTCGGTAGCGTCTGGCTGAGTAAGGTGGGTATTCTCTAAGTATTTTTTTCTCACTTGGCTGCCTCTTTCCTGGTCCTTCAGCTAAAGAGACTAGGTTTTTGTTGGTGCCCTTTTTTGGGGAGCGGCGGTGGGGATTCTGTGCTCACTGATTGTCATTTCCAGGTTCTAGATTCTTCTGTCTGAAATATGTGAGGCAGAAAGAAAACTTAGGGAACTTACCACCAGGTTGTTCTTTTGGTCCCAAAGTCCACAGTCCGCCTTCTCTGTACCTTTCAGAGTCTTCTTATGTTTGTTTTATAGGTAGTGCCCAGAGTTTTGTTGTTGTTGTTGTTGTACTTAGCAGGAGGAATAGAGAAAAGTATATCTATTCCATTTTGCTGCAAGCATAGGTCATCAGACATACCAATTTTCTTATTCAGTGTAGGTACTCTACACACCACAATGCAGAGCTCTCTGTGAACTAGAGAATGGGGTCTGGAGCTGAGGCTGCAGTCAAGTCTCCTCCATGCCAGGTCTGGGCCTTGGGACCCACAAACTCGCATATGTGTGCAGAGCACACAAATTTAACAACTTAGATGAAATATCCCAATTCCTCAGAAACCACAAACTACTAAAATTCACTGAAGATAAAACAGATAGCCTAGATAGTTCTACAATTATTGTTAGAGTTGAATTAAAAGTTCAGAAGTTCCTGACAAATCTTCATTTCCAGATAGTATTACTGGTGAATTTCACTAAACTGTTAAAGAAGAAATAACACCAATTTTTCTACACAATTTCTTCCAGAAACTAGAAAAAGAGGGAACACCTGTCAACTCATTTTATGAGGCCAGAATCACCCTAATCCATTATTAGACAAGTAGGATTCATCCCAGAAATGTCAGACTGATTCATACTTAAAAATTAATGATTAAAAATAAATTGTTATAATCTGCCATATTAACAGCATATGAATATAAAAACCTCACATGATTAAATCAAATGATACAGAAAAGCATTTGACAAAATGCAGTATCTCTTTGTGATAAAATCTTAGCAAACTGGGAATAAAATTTATTCAGTTTGGTAGGGAGCATCTTTACACATTTAGCATACTTGATGATGAAAGACTGAATGCTTTTCTTCCAAAACTGGGAATGAAGCAAGAATGTTCCCTCTCGCCACTTTGGTTTATGCGCACAGTGGAAGTCCTAGCCAGTACAGTAAAAGAAAAGAAAAATATATAAAAGTGCATGTAGTTGGGGGAAAAAAGAAGTAAAAATGGTGCTGTCTGTAAGCAACATGCTTGTGTAGAATGTCTTAGGGGATCAACCAAGAAAACAACTCTTCAAGCACTGACAAGAGGTGAGTTTGGCAAAGTTACAGGAGACAAGGTCAGCACATCAAAAATGTTTTCCTGTATACTAGCAATGAACAATTAGAAGCAAATTTTAAAAATATAATTTACAATAGATTTTTTTTTTTTTTTTTTTTTGAGTTGGAGTCTCTGTCGCCCAGACTGGAGTGCAGTGGCCGCTCCTGCCACCGCAGCCTCGACCTGCTGGGCTCCGGCGAATTTACAACAGATTTTTAAAAAGAAAGGGATAGCCAGGCATGGTAGCGTGTGCCTGTAGTTCTGGCTTCTTGGAATGCTGAGGCGGAAGGATTGTCGGAGCCCAGCAGGTTGACGCTGGCGTGTCCGTGAGTGTGCTACTGCATCCCAGCCTGGGTGACAGAGTGAGACTCCAACTCAAAAAAAAAAAGAAGTGGGTATAAATACAACAAAACATATACAGTGTCCACATGCTAAAAAGTATAAAACATGATCCAAGAAATCAAAGGAGATCTAAGCAAACACATGGATTGGCCATTTGATACATGAAACAGTATGGGTGCAACCCAAAGATATGACACTGAGTGAATGAAGCAAGTCTCAAAAACAGACATGCTGTGACATTCTGGACAAGGCAGAACTGTGGTGATGGAGCGCCTGCCAGTGGTCGCCAGAAGTTGGGGGGGAGGAGGGTGTGACTACATGGGGCAGCACTGGGGCGTTTTGTGGGGATGTGAAGGTTTTCCGTGTCCTGAATGTGGTTGTGTCAGTCTGTATGTCTGTCAAAGTTCATAGAACTGTCCGCCAAAGTCAAAGACCATTCTTAATCAATAAATAACAACAACAGTACAACAAAGGACCGCTGAACCATCCCCACACCGAAAGTATGCTGAGAATTATCTAGTTGATACATAAGCAACTGCACTGCCACACATTTATCCAAGTTTCAATGGCAGCATGCAATGGGCATTCAGGAGGGCCAGTGAGGAGTCGTTTGGTAGTAAGACAGTTGCTCAGTTCAGCCATCTTTACCTCAGGCATTAAGATACTTGATACAAATGAGGTTTCTGGGCAAATAAGACGTGTTTCTAAAATCTTCCTATTTTAGCTGTTGCACTTCACAGTTACATGGCTAAGTTGGTGTATCTCAAAAGAATCAGCTTTTCCATTTCAAAATACAGAGGACAGGGCTCGTGAGCAGACATCCTCTCAGAGGGTGTTTTCACCAAACTTAAGGCTGTGTTACATGTGGACGTCAGACGTCAGCGTTGCTGCTGCTTCCTTTTGCTGCCTTTTGCTCCCTGCAGGAGGTGGTGGCTCACTGGATTGCTGAAAGCCGCATTGCCATCGAGGAGATCCGCTTGTTGACCCTGAAAGCCGCCCACAGCATGGATACTCTGGGCAGCGCTGGTGCGAAGAAGGAGGTGAGGATTTCCCCAGGTCACTCGCTGCAGAACCTCCTCCAGCTTTACCCGCCGGCCAGGCACTCAGAAGAGTGGAAGACCCACCTGGTTTGAGATGAAAGATCATATGTGTCTGTCACTTACTATTTTTCCTTTACTTGGCCGCTTTAGGGCATGATTTTCAGGATGTAGAATATCTTCAGCATTGCTGAGATGCAGCAACAAGGAACAGGGAACTCATGGGCTTTCTGTGGACCTGGAGTTAACTGTACCTACTGTGCCACTTTCTGCTTGCCTTGTGACCACGGGCAAAGCCCTTAAATTTCTGCCTGTGGCCTAGAGTTCTTGTGGAGAGCAACCAAGTTGATGTTCAGAGAGTGCACAGCATGCAGCTGGCACACAGTAAATGTTTCGTCAAATGCACCTCTTTCTCCTTGCCATCTTATGTTTCTGGCTTACAGGACATAAGGACATAATTGTTTAATTTTAAAAGCCCATAAACTTATTAAAAGAAAGCTGATTGGCAGAACCCTTTAACTTGTTTTATGATCCCTAGGGTGCTGCGTGTGATTTATCAGCTGCCTGAAATTCTTTTGGAAATAGGCAAGTTATAAATGACCACATGAAAGATTATTTGGAAGGCATACCTTTTTCCAGAGGGTCTGTATTGACTGAATTATGACCGTTAACTGCATTTGAGCAGGACCTCTTTGTTGGCTTTCACCAAAGGTCCTGTTTTAGTGGTGACTTGGGTGAGGGAAAGTTTCCTGTTTCATTTCACAAAGAAAAATACGGATTATATCATATTCTCCCACATTGTGCATAGTTTAAGAAAGAAGTATTATTTTCATATCTTGCTCACGTAGATTGCAATGATAAAAGTGGCCGCGCCACGGGCTGTTTGCAAAATCATTGACCGGGCCATCCAGGTGTGTGGAGGTGCTGGCGTTTCCCAGGATTATCCGCTGGCCAACATGTGAGTAGATGTCTCTTAACCATCTACAGATGCCTTGACACTAATTGTTCAAAAAGAAAATGACTTACTTTAAAGTGTAATTGAGAGTTAAATGATGTGCTGTTGGTACTCAATTCCAAGAAATAGTTGCTTTTGTGATTACAATCATCATTTCACTCCATTTTGTTAATTTTCTCTCTGAGGGGACCCACTGAAGATTCCTGGGCTATTGATACAGCTTGGGGTTTTGCTGAATGTATCACAGTGCATGTCAGTGACTGTCTAACTAATACCCAGCTTCTAATTACTGGGAGGCAGGAAGGAACATTCTCCATTCCCTATCTGTCCATCTTCACACATAGTCACAGTGTCACCTTCTCTGTCACTCTGGAGGTAGAGGCTCATCTGTCATCAATTTTCAACCTTAAGAAAGAACTAAATATATAGTATCATATCACTCACTTCCTGTGGCGTACCCAAGATCTCTGTTAAGTTCTACCAACTTCTAGGAACCTGGCAGCAAACCAAGAATGAGATTAACCCCACTGCACTTTGCCACTTAAGGTTCCCGAGTTGGGGACTTTAAAATGGTATTTCAGAAACCTTGTGGCTTATCTTCCTTTTGCTCTTTTTCTGATTCCTGCCTCAGTGGGATTTCAAGAGCAGATGTCGTCTTGGCTTAGAATCAGAGTGGCGGACCTTAAAATAGCATGTTCCTCTTCATCAGCTCCCTCAGTCCCTGCGCCTTTCATTTTTCAGGTATGCCCACACCAGAGCTTTGCGTTTGGCAGACGGACCCGATGAAGTCCACCTCTCAGCAGTTGCAAAAATGGAGTTGCAGGATCAAACCAGAGGGTTGGCAGCCAGGATGTAAGGAGAGTGGTGCTGCCACGTGCTGCCGGCAGGAAATGTCCTGCATGCAAGCTTCTTTTGTGCCATCATCTGAGCCTCATGTCTTATAGCAGCTTGGGCACAGGGTTGATTACTCATCTGTGGTAAAGGTTTTCGTGCCTCTTTTGGTCGGTAGGTTTTATAACTTCAAGGGCTACACGGGCCTAAATCCAGTAAGAAATTCTGTAACTGGTGCCATTCAGTCTAGTGCCTAAGTGGCTTAGCATTTACTTTTTAAGCACGCTGCGTAAGAGATCACAACTTAGACGATTACAATTTATACAATGCATAAATTAGAGAGCTAAAGCACAGGCATAAACATAGTTTCACTTTCTGTTTTCAGGAATTGTTCCATGTAAGTAAAATAACTTTGGGAATGTTTAATCATTGCTTTGGTGGGTGGGGACAAGAAAAAGAGGGTGGTCAGAACGATTGTTGGGGAGATAGAAAGAGAAAAGAAGATGGCAGGATGCCCGTATTTTTGTTGTTGTTGTTGTTGGAGTCTTGCTCTGACGGCCAAGCTGGAGTGCAGTGGCACAGCCTTAGCCTCCTGGGCTCAGGCAGTCCGTCCACCTCAGCCTACAAGTAGCTGGGACTACAGGTTCAAGCCACCACACCTGGCGAATTTTGGGGGGCGGTTGCAGAGATGAAGTTTCCTATGTTGCCTAGGCTTGAACTCTGGGCTTAAGCAATCCTCCCACCTCAACCTCCCAAAGTGCTGGGATTAGAGGTGTGAGCCACCATACCCAGCCAGGACCCCTTTTTAACCACTGTTTTTTAAGGGATTAGTTTAACAATTTGTAGTAATGTTTGCATTGGAGAAAGAAGTATGACTAATTGTGTTGTTTTATAATTCACATACTTCTAAGTCTCTTCATAGTTCAACAGGAAGCACTTATGCATAAAGTCTGAATGCAGTTTTCTAGAAAATATGGCATATTGTGAGAAAATATAATTAAGAACCATTTAAATTATAAAATGTTGTTGAAACAGTAGAGTTTGAGCTGCAAGAAAGTTCCTTCATTTTGAGAAGGGAGTAGACAGTCTGCCCTGAATGCTGTCGTGTGGATGTAATACCGATGCAGGCCTTCTTGTAGCTGTTGACATCGGCTCTGTCCCGTGCAGTGTAACCATTGGCCACTGTGACTCTTGAGCGTTTGTAATGGGGCTAGTGCATCTGTGAAACTTCCGCAAGTGTAATTCATTTAAATATCAATTCTCAACTCAGTTACCAGAAAACCTGTATGTTTGGAATAACTCGGGTATGTGAATTACTTTTCAGTTGTAAATTTTATGAAATCTGAACACAGAGCAAGTATTTTGAATGAAAATTTAGCATTCCAACAAAAATATAGAGTAATTATGAAATACATACCAAATTTGGAAGACTTAGTTGAAAAAAATGCAAAATTTATGTTGATTATACATTGAGATTATATCTTGGATATTTGCATTAAATAAAATACATTATTAAAATTGATTTCATCTGTTCCTTGTTATCTTTTTACTGTGGGTGCCATTGGAGTAGTACTTGATAAATTTTGAAATTTCAAATAAAAGTATTTTTATTCCTAAAAACTTAGCTTTCTTGGAAGGCATGCACACCAGATGAGTTCCTTGATGCCCAGAGACTCTTCCAACCACAGTTTAGCTTTGCTGGGGTGGGGTTGGAGGTGGCAGCAGGAATTGGATGAAGACCTGGGCTCTGCATGCCGTGTGGCCTCTTAAACATCTGCAGCTGAACCTTCACCTCTCTGTACCTTGTTTTTCTTTCTACATATTGAGATTGATTTTTCAATCCTAGAGGACCCTTTCCTACTGAAAGTTTGTTGTTAGAATCACTGAAACCGTGTAGAAGCCACTTGAAATTTTTGAAATACAGTAAATCACTTTATAAGGTGCCCTTATTTAAAGTGGATAGATTTTATAACCTATTTAGCCTTATTACTAATTTTAAAAGGTGTGATTTAGAAGAAATTGGGATTGTTTTTGAACCATTGGAATTAAAGTCTATGTCTGATACTTACAATTTTGCAGTAAATTTGTTTCTCTGTCTGAGGAAAACTGGCCAAGTTAGTTGTTTGTTTGTTTTAATTAATCCGCGATCACGTACCTGGCCATTCCTGAGGCAACTCACTATATGTGGTCTGTATTACTCTCTCCCTACCCTGAATTTATTTAGTTACAGCGATGTGAAGAAGAACGGTAGGGATTGTTTCAAAAGGGAAAAAGGTCTCCAAAGGATAAAAAGAGAAGATCAAGTCCAAGATCAATGTCCCAGTCCTGGAAAGTGAATGGACGACTGTGAGCTTGTGAGCTTGAGGGCCGTTTCCAGGGCTGTGTCTCCTTAGGCTGTTCCAGGGAACCAGCAAGCAGTGCTTCGCCTGGGATGGTCTGCCAGCTTTGCCGTATGTCTGAAGCCACTTGGTCTTAAAACAAATGTCCTAGCTGAGTGCCGTGGCTCACGCCTGTAATCCCAACACTCTGGGAGGCGGAGGTGAGAGGATTGCCTGAGTCCAGGGGTTCGAGACCAGCCTGGGCAACTTGGCGTGACCTCGTCTCTACAATAAATAAAAAAGAATAGCCATGCATGGTGGCACACGCCTATGGTCCCAGCTACTTGGAAGACTAAGACAGAAGGATCGCCTGAGCCCAGCAGTTGGAGGCCATGGTGGCCCTAAGTATGCCACTGCACTCAGCCTGGGTGACAGTGAGACTCCGACTCAGTAAATAAACAAATAAATTTCCTTTTCTAATAGCCACATGACAGGGAGGGAGGAGGGAAGACAGAGCTCACCAGTCGTGACTTTATTCGTTCAGCTGCCTCCAAGATTGCCAAGTGGTCAGTGACGGAGGAGGGGTCTTGAGACTGCTGGACAGGGACGACACCATGAGGCTCCACACAAAAGAGATCATGGTCTTTCTCCAGCAAGACATTTGGGATGCACAAGGTGGACATCTGTGCTTGTCTGGGGGAGTGGCTAGCCGGGTATCTCGGGTAGCTGACACTTTTTACCTTGAGAACGCGTAGAGAAAGTTCAGCTGGTTGTGGAGGAGATGATGTCCTACTCAACCCACATTCTGCGTCACCCCTGCTGTTCTCATGCCACTTTGCATCATGGGCTCTTCTCAAACAGAACCAAAGTAGGTGAACAGCAGTAAAGTCCAATATGGCATCTAGGCATTTTAGTGGCTAAGTTGCACGGGGCTTACTCAAAACTACTTTTCTCCTTGTTCTTGAATTAAGCTACAACAGTCTCAGAAAATCTCAGAAGGCTATTTTTTATTTTAACGTAGATTTTCTAATGGATTTAAAATAGTAAAGTTCTTAAATAAAAGCTATTATAAAATGAACTCCATTTTTGGAAATGTGTGTCTGCTATTAAACATGTCCTATTTCAAGCCAAGTAGCCTCACCTAGCTTCTCTCTTTCACTGGCACGAAGTTGTTCCTCTCCCAGGAGCAGAGTAAAGGGAGCAGACCATGAGCTCACTCAGTAGGCCTCCTGTTAGCAATTACGGCTGGTGTTTGTTGCATGTCTTTCCCCACGTTTTCTTTTGCCTGGATGACCACAGCACACTCTCCCAGCTGGACTTCTGGTCTATTTTTTCAAAGCCGAGATCACCCTTTCAAATGCTACAGTGGCTTCCCTCTCTCTTAGAATAAATTCAGAGTCCTTGCTTTGGCTGTCAAGGTTCCATCTGAGCTTGTCCCCGACACCTCTTGGGTCTCATGGCCCTGGCTCACCCTGTCACACCTCCAACATCCAAGCCCATCCAGCCCTCTGATCTTTGATTCTTGTTGGTTCCTCTGCCCGAAAGGATCTACTCAGGCTTTCCAGATGCCTACCCAAAAGTCACACTATTAAAGTGTCCATTCTTGGTCATCGCTCTAAACTAGCACTACAAGCTTTGTCATTTACCACCTGCTTATCTGCCTTTTTCCTCACAAAACTTACCACCTGACATTTCATATGTGTTTGTTTATGGCATGTCTTCTCATAAGTGTATACAGCTTTTCCCTCCTCTATTCGCTTATCTCACATTTTTTGTGTGCTGGCATCTCCTCATCTCAAGAACTATGCCTGACATCTAGAAGGCACTCAAAAAGAAAACGGAAAAGTTGAATACATGAATGAATGTGCGTGGATGCGCTCCTGAACCTGGTTTGCGGCACAGCGACCGGTGAGAAGGCAAAGCATTGGTTTATAGGTCTGCAAACAGAACAGAGCCGAACTCTGAGCCCCAGCTCATGAACACAAGCTGGGAACAGACCCAGCATGGGTTATGGATAGCTGGAGAAAGCACAGGCATGATCAGTGCCCCAGCAGTGGGGGCGCACAGCTGTGTAGGCAAGTTGATTGATAGACGTTCAGTGAGTCTTTAACAGCCTAGGGGAATGTGCTCTTGGCATTCTTTCCTGACATCTCGTCCAGTCTAATCAGCCAGAGGACTATGATCAGCTCTAGGAGCGGAGGGAAGTCAGGACGCCTCACAGAAACAACCATTTCTGGTGATTGTTAGGATTTTCCCGTTTTCTAAATAAGCAGGATTCTGGGAAGTGTCCTCACTTGATTCAGGGCAGACAAAGAGCATTTAGGGTTTATGATCCTGCCGTGATAGTTTTATTTCTTTCTCTTTTTCAGCACCTCTTTCTCACTGTGGTGATTATGAGTTTATAGAGAGGAAAATCCACACCCATTCTAGTATGAGAGCGTGATTATGATACGCTCTGTGAAATCAGGGGCTTTTTCTGCTTTACCCTCACCCCCAAATTATGTGAACAAGTACATGGTGATTGTTTATCCCTAACAAGTACTGGTTAAGTGGAGACCAATTCCGCAGACGGAGTCTCCAGAAGGCGCTTTCCCCAGCCCTCCTTCATCCACTATGCTGATGGTTAACGCCACCTGGTGAATCTTTTTGCTTTACTTTTTTTAATGGTTGAAAGCAGAGACACCCTTCCCTCCACCACCCGTATCTCTCTGACTTCAGTTTCTTCTGCTCCATTTCCTTATTCCACATCAACCACCCTGGCCTTCTGCTGTTCCTCCAATATCCCAGATATGTTCCTACCTCAGGGTCTTTGCATTTGCCTTTCTGTTTGCCTAGAAAGTTGTGTCCCTGTTCCATGTCCTCAGAATCTGCTTCTTTCCTGCAAATATGACCTTCCAAGGCTTCTGTACCCTCTTTCCCTGCTTTGATTTTCTTCATAAAACTTGTTACCTTGT